CTCCTGCCAGAACAACCCCCCAATGAAAATGTATTATTTCTTTTGTAAAACATTCACTCTCTGGAAATGGGGTAGCAGAGGGCGACTTCCAGTTATAGATGCAATTTACTTGTTTCTTTGTGTTCCAAAAGATGTGGACTAGGGCTTTTGCATCGTTCGATTCTTTGGGGAGAGGCAATGCCCTCTCTCAAAGAACTTGATTTCCTTAATGCCCCTTGCCTTGTGGTATTTTTCTTGTAACTTCTAATAATAATAATAATAATAATTTTACTCTGCAGGGAACAGACACTAAAGTTCGTCTGGTTATAAACTTAAAAAGTTCCACATTTCTTATGTTAAATTGGTGTGGATGGCTGTAAGAGAGAAAATTGCCACATAAGCTGATCAGCTCAGTATTATAAACGATGAGGTTACTTCTGATTGATTAATTAATTGTATCTGAGCCCAGGTGTTCATAGGGGAGAACTTCAAACCAATGCATGTGTTTTCCAGCTATTTGAAATACGAAAGCAAGCAAAGCAAAGCTTTGGGACAACGTTTGCTCAAGTATCTGTGCCGCATACGCACCAGAGGTCATCCTACCTAAAGAGCAAGGACATGCCTGGAAGGAATGGGCACTCCAAGGAAAACGCTGAGAGAGAGAGCCATGTCTTTTGTCTCTTGAAGCTTATTAAAATATATGGCCAATGAGCCTTTGCTGTACAGACCACGAGGAACAATATCCTAGGGTAAAGGACAAGACTCAGTCCATGCCATCAGAGCTCATTAGTGTTATTTGTCTTAAAGCAATGCACAGATTGGGACCCCGTTGTATTAGCTGCTGTACAGAAACACAGTGGCTGTGTCTAGACTGGCCAGTTTTTCCGGAAAATCAGCCGCTTTTCCGGAAAAACTTGCCAGCTGTCTACACTGGCCGCTTGAATTTCCGCAAAAGCACTGACGATCTCATGTAAGATTGTCAGTGTTCTTACGGAAATACTATGCTGCTCCTGTTCGGGCAAAAGTCCTTTTGTGCAAAACTTTTGTGCAAAAGAGCCAGTATAGATAGCTGAGACTTGTTTTCTGCAAAAAAGCCCCGATTGCGAAAATGGCGATCGGGGCTTTTTTGCGGAAAAGCGCGTCTTGATTGGCACGGGCGCTTTTCCGCAAAAAGTGCTTTTGCGGAAAAGCGTCCATGTCAATCTAGATGCTCTGTTCCGAAAATGCTTTTAACGGAAAACTTTTCCATTAAAAGCATTTCCGGAAAATCATGCCAGTCTAGACGTAGCCAGCGAGAGAGAGTCCCTAGCCCATTACATGGTGATGGAGGCAATAGATCCATTTAGCTAGGTCTCAAAGTGCACTTTCTTTAAAATCTATGTGCTTTCTTCCCTGGGACATGCTACAGGGCCATGTGTGTAATATATTCCCCTTCTTCCAAGGAGGTAGCTTTCTGTGTCTGTACCATGCCCAGCCCAGTGAGGTCCTGTTCCATGTCGGGGGCTCCTTAGTCTTAACGCAGCACCGTTAAAAGCATTTCTGGAAAATCATGCCAGTGTAGACGTAGCCAATTCAGTATACAGCTTCCTCTTATCATAACTTAAAACACGGAAAGAGTTTGGTTGTGCCAGGACAATGGGATGTGCCTGGAATGGGATTGTTCTCATCAAACCAAACAGAAAAGAGACAGAATCACCAGAGCAAGTACAGTCCTCCTCACAATTGACATAACTGAGCAAATGCTGAAAGAGTCTAAACCAAGATGAGTCAGAAACATGGGAGGAACCTGGAAGAGGATTGCTTCTCAATACACCTTAGAGAAAAGAGATCAAATGCAGACATTTGGAGGAGTGCTCTTGGCAGACATTTGGCACAGCAAAATCAATGCTTAAGGTTTGAAAACTAGAAGACAATATTATTGGAAAACCACATTAACTATATACAGCCCTTTTAATTAAAACCTAGCGAATGATAGGAGTGTATAGGGATGAAGAAAAAATGCACTTGATGGAATTCCCATTTTTTAAAACTTACTAAAAAAGATTAAACAGACAAATTTGAACAATCCCTTTCTTTAAAGAAATTTGAATTAAAATTTAACTTCATAAGAATAACACTGCATTTTTGAAAAATACAGTCATTTCAGACATGTACATTTTCCTTTTATTTTCCAAAAACAAAACAAAACAAATTAATTGAGTTAAGGACCCGAGCAATGCCAGGTAAATCTGCTAGTAATACATAACCAGAGTCACAATCTCATCGCTGCCTCATTGGTGGTTCTTGAGCTGGCTGGATCTCCCTGAGACCCAGCCCTTTGTAATCCTGGTTAATGGGTTACTGCAATTAAACCCTAATGCTCTAGGGCCTGGTACTTTTGTTCTGTCTTTTTAAAATGTCCTCCTTGTTCCTCCGCATCGCATGTTTCCTCCTGAAATTCCCCTTTTCTTTTTAATAGCTTCCTGCTGCCTCGTGCTCCCAGCCAAAGGGGGATAGTTTCCTCCCCCTCCACCCATGCTCAGTGTTATGCTTGGAGCAAATCGGCTGCAAGCAGGGAAGTTTATTGGAAAGCACTCGCTTTTGTGTTCATTAAAAAAGGGTCCTTTTCCCGTGGGCTGCCTTTGCTGTCTGTCTGAACGTTTACCTATCAGTGGCGCTTTAATAATGGCAAGTAAAGGCAGGGGATGTCAGATAAAGCCACGCAAAGCTGCCATTTAAATCCTCTTGTGTACGTTTGATAGCCAAAGTGGAAGCACAAATGCCATATAAGTCAATTAAAGCATTAAGTAATCTAATTGTGTTGGGGCCACAAAGTGGCTTAAAGGCTGAGAGAGGCGAACTCCCACTCCCATTCCCCCCCGAACTCCCACTTCAGCATTCCCCCGAGGCCTTTGTGAAGGAGTAAAGGGGGAGGGATGTTAGGGAATGGGCGGCGGTTGGTGGTGAGAACATACATATACAAGGACAACAATGGTCTAAGCCAGGAACTGGGGAAGGGGGGAGTGTGTGTGTGTGTGAGTGTCCGTGTGTGATATGATCGGCGTTCCAAAGGCCTCCTTGTCCTGGCCTTGAGATTGTGGAATTTGTGTTGCGCTCAGCCTGGCTCCTTCTCTGTCTTTGTTCATTAGCGGAGAAGAAGAAGGACGGTGCAATTAAAGCCACTGACCTCCGGAGAAGGGGGATATGCTGTTAGCATTCCTCCAGCACGGCCTGCCCTGGGCTGTTTCATTGTGTGCAGCTTTTCCCAAGGTGGACACCTTTCTGCACATCGCTGCCCATTTCCAGTGGGAGATAGTGAGCCTCAATCTTGCTGCGGGAGTAAATCTATTGCAGCCAGTGGAGATAACCAAAGCGAACACCCATGTGTCAGCAAATCTTGCTCCGGGTATGTGTGTGTAGCCGTGTAATGTGCACCTTATGTCAGGGGTGCAGGACCTAAGGCCTGGGGGCTGGATCTGGCCCCTGGCTTGCCTGGAACTGGCTCCTTGGGCTCAGGGCTTCCTCCCTCCCCCAGCATCAGGGAGCCTATGCTGATGCTCCAGTCCTGCCACCCCCTTCCTCCCTGGGAGGCTGGAGCACCAGCTGTTGGGGGGAGGGGCAAGCCTCGCAGGCTGGAATTAGGATCTCGATCCGTCCCAAGGGCTGTGCCGGGACGGGGGAAGAAGCAGCTCAGACCCCCACCTCCAGCTGCTCTTGCACACACCTCCCTGCCCAACCCCTGCACCTCCACTCTGCTGCCCCTGTACTCTCCCTCTTGCCCAGACCCCACGCCCCAAGCCTGCTTTCCTCTCCCACACACCAAACCCCTCGTTTTTGATCCCACTCCAGAGACTAGGGCCCCCCCCCAGGCTCGGGTGGGGGAGGGGAATGTGGGGAGTGTCTTTCTGCTCCTTAGTTGGGGGCCACGTCAACGAGCGGTTTTTCTTGTTGTTGCTTTTCACTTTTCTGCGGTCCCCGACAGATTTTTCTGTGGCTCAGCAGCCCCCAACCCGAAAAAGGTTTCCCACCCCTGCCTTATGTCCTCCCACCACACCGAGACCGCACAAGCCAAGCCCCTAAATTCTGTTGAGACTCATTGGCCTTGATGCTCAGAGGGTGAAAAGCAGCAGAACTCCATTGCTTTCTGTGGAGTCAGCAAGGCACGGACGCTAAGCGAGAGGGCTCGCCCGTACAGCCAGCGGCTGCAGGCTTTCTCCCTTTACTGTCTAATGATAGAGATTTCCAGGGCACAAGCGTCGGTTTGGGTTTTCTTGAAGATTGCCTCGGAATTGATGAGGCCCGGTTACCCTGCAAGGGGACTCTGCCAATCAGATGCTCCTCCTGCTTCTGTGTCAATTGATCAGAATCACTCGCCGTAGCCAGGTAGAAAACAGATGTGAAGTCACAATCGGGCCTCCTATTCAGGGCCACATTATGACTTTTGTGGGCCCTAGGCACTTTTGCCTTCGTGGGCCCCTTCCTCCATAAAAAAAAATATTAAAAATTACTTTTGGTATAACTTTAAATACTTCAACATTGTAATTTTTTTTCTGTTTGAGGCAAAATTTTCGTGGGCCCTAAAAGTTTCATTTTTTTCTGATGTGAGAAAAAAATTAAAACATTTTCTTCGACCCTAAAAGTTCTTTTTTTTTTCCTTCTGATTTTAAAAGAAATTAAAACATTTTCGTGGGCCCCTAAAAGTATCGTGGGCCCTAGGCACTGTGCTTACTGGATAAGTTGGCCTTGCCCATATTTATCGCTCTTAAGCCCTAGTCTAGACTAGGGAGTTATTTCAAAATGGGGCGAAGGATAGCCTGCTAAACCCAGTGTTGCAAGCACAATCCTTGAGGGAGCCATTTAGGGATCTGGGGCAAATCTGTCAGGGGTGGTACTTGGCCCTGTCATGGGTGCAGGGGACGGGACTCAATGACCTCTCAAGGTCCCTTCCAATTCTATGAGATAGGTATATCTCCATATATTATTATTTCAAAATAACAAGCGGCACGGAGCATCCACACTACCCAGCCCGTTATTTTGCAATAAGGGGCTGGTTATTTCAAAATAACTCCTGCTTTCCACGAGGAATAACGCTTATTTCGAAGTAGCAGTCGTGTGGACGTTCTGCTGCTGCTATTTCGAAATAACGGCTCCCCTGAGTCATTCCGAGTCATTCCTCCCCAGTGCTTCCTGGGGCCCTAAGTCGAGGTAGCACATCCACTTTAAGGGAGACTTCCTCGGACTCATTTTGGGGCTTCCCTGCAGTGTGGACGTGCTATTTCAAAATAGTTATTTCAGACGTTATTCGTTTGAAATAAGTTATTTCGAGATAATTTCCTAGTGTAGACATGCCCTTAAAGGCCTGGTCCAGAGGGAGACAAAGTCCGGAGGATGCTCCACACCTGACACAAGCGTGCCCTGCCCGATGGTAAAATCCTGCTGGGAGCTGTGTGAGTCGGAAGGGGACCACAGCAGTTCCGAGCAGGTACTGTATCTGGAACAAAAGCCCTCCCTCCAGAGAACACTGCGCTGGACAACATGGCGGCTTGTCCAGCTTGTTGCTGTCTCTCCCTGCCTACCAACGCATACTGCAGGCAGCACAAAGAAGGAGGCTGGTCCTGTAAGAGGCTGAACCTGGACCCTGGCGTGAACAGCTTTGGCTGGGTGGACTCCAGGGAAAATTGGAACCTCCCCCCTTCCCGCCCAACTCACGCACTGCATGGGGCCAGAGCAGTTGCTGCATTCCAGAAGGCATCTCTTTATGGCTGCTTTGCCTGATTTATCCCCACGCCCCCATTCACACTGGCCTCATGGGAGTCTCTTTGGACCCTTGCTCTGCTGGGCTCTGCAGTTCTTCTGGGGTGGCAGGGCTATTTGCCGTTGGGGCCTCCCACTGCCCTTCATGGCTCTTAGATATTTCACCGACCTGCCAGGCTGGGTTGAATTTCACATGAAAAGAGCTTGGGATTCCTCTTGGCTCATGGGAAATTCATAGCAAGCCCCCGATCCTTAAGGAGACGTGTTTGGGGAGGTGTCGTTATCCACGTACTGATAGGAACCGCTGCTTTGTGGTTTGCTCTTTTACACGGCAGCTCCTTTAGGCACCGCAGCTTTTGAGTTGAGTCCTAGCATCTTTGCTTAAATCCACCTCTGCTTTCTTTGAGCCCTTGGGGCTGAGTCTCCTGTGCCCCCGTCCCTTATGTGAAGCATGTCTAAGGGGAGAGGTGCAGAGCCTTTGGCTGTGTCTACACTGGCATGAATTTCCAGAAATGCTTAAAACGGAATACTATTCCGTTTTCAGTTTTTCCGGAGAAGGAGCGTATACATTGGCAGGCTGCTTTTCCGGAAAAGCCCTTTTTCCGGAAAAGCGTCTGTGGCCAATGTAGACGCGCTTTTCCGGAAAAGAGCCCCGATCGCCATTTTCGTGATCGGGGCTTTTTTCCAGAAAAGACTACTGGGCTGTCTACACTGGCCCTTCTCCGGAACAATATTCCGGATTAAGGACTTATGCCCGAGCGGGAGCAGAATAGTTTTTCCGGAATAGCGGCTGATTTTGTATAGTAGAGCATCGTTGCTTTTCCGGAAATTCAAGGGGCTGTTCTGGCCAGGCTGGGCTGAGCCTGCTACACCACAAGCGGGGGCTGCTCAGGCCAAACCCGCTGCACCAGTGTCACCAGTGGGGCATTGCTCCAACCTGGTCGGTCTGGAGCGTGCGCGCGCACGCACACGCACACACACAACCCCGCC